TCTCAAGTCTGAAACTGATTTTGCAGGATGTTTGGTCGAGTCACTGTATATGTCTAAATTTAATTTTATATATTTTAAATCAAAAATAAACATTCCTTACAGGGCGTTGATATCTTTAACTCCTTCAGCTGTGGTTTTATTTGTGGGGTGCAGCAGATTTTTTATATTTGACAAGAGATATTTTAAAGTTTTCCCTCCAGGGGAAAACATGTTTGATTTTTTTTTGTATGACTTTAAATAACTGTATTTAAGATGTTATTACTGCGTAAAAATGTTTAAAAAAACCTTAACATTTCAGTTTAAATGAAGGCAGGGAAACTATTCTGTGAAAAAAATGTATCTTCAATTCAGACTAAACTATGTGCATCAAATCCTTCAACACATTTTTAAAAGTTTTATATTTTGTGTGATTTGTTAAAACTCAGAATGTGTTAAGGATCAGTCTCAGCTACTCTTTATTTTTGTAAATCTGAACAAGTAGAGCCATTGTGTTTGCTACGGTCAGTTGGATGTGGAATCCATCCCGAATCTCCAAAACTAAATAATTTGAACAAAAATGTCATTATAATCCATCAAGTGGTTCATGAGATATTTTACTAACAGATATTTTATTAAACCTGCTGAAAACATAAACTGGGATTTTTGGGCCTTAAAACAAGACACGATGGTAGAATAAGTGCATTGAAATTTACCAATGTGGACCCAAACTATTTGAACCCTTCAAAATAAAAGCATTCAACTCAAAGTACTGCTTGTCAGCTACAGTAAACTTCTGGGATTTTTAGTAAAGACACGAGAGCATCTTTTCTACAAAATATCTTTTTTATTTCAAACATTCTGTGAAACCAGTAAATACAATAAAATACATCTTGAATGGATTTAGTTTGGTCTTTAACACAAAACTATTCAGCTGAAATAATCGTTCCTGTCTTTGCTGTAGTCACAATCCTTTTTTATGTTTTATCACCAACAAGAAGAACAGCTTCAGAAATCAGGTTCAGTTTATTTGCCCTTTCTGAATTTCCCAGGAGTGGCTCCAGTTTTCTGCTTCTTCTTTGCGGATCCTTTGATCTCCGGTTGCTACGAAAACAAAATCAGGTCAATTTAACCCAAAGTTTCTTTCTTTCAAACAACCAGGCTGCTATGGAAACACGTCAGCGGTGCAGGCTACCTTTCGTTTGGACGAGAGCGATCCGGTGACGGTGAAGAAGGAGTCGAGTCGTCCCTGCGTGCTGCCCTGCCTGCTCTTCACCATCTTCTTACAGCCGTTACGAATCCTGTCCTCGCTGCGAACACACCCACAGTACAGATTACTCTGCAGATCATATTACCCTGAATGTAACTGTATAAATACTACGTCTACAGGACAAACAGCGCCRACTAGTGGACAGATGAAGGAACAAGTCTGCTCACAGAACCGTTCGTCCATCTCTCAAACTGTTTTCAGTCCAACACTCTGCAGGGGACCCAGAAAGGAAGCATGTTCTGCTCACCTGAACTGTTTCTCGTTGCACATGAACTGGATCAGACTGTCCTCGTCTGGCTCGGTCCACTTCAGGTCCACCGAGGAGCAGTCCACCACCTCTGGCTTTATAAACAGGTTCCTGGCTTCTTTATAGAGCCAGTCCTCGGGAGCGGGGTGTTTCTGCAGAAACACAACACAGAACCAGGTCCAGTGGCCGGTCTAACTACAGTCCAGGAACTAGGTGGGCATTTATTAGGGCTGTGCATTAATGAGAAAAGTTTGGTGATATGATGCATATCATGACTCAGGGGTCACAATACGATACATCATGATACATTGTGATATATTCTGATACATCTCAATAAATCTTGATATACTGTATTATATATTGTGATATATTCTGATATATTGTGATATATTCTGATATATTGTGATATATTTATACATTAGGATATACTGTATTGTGATACATTGTGATATATCATGATAAATCTTGATATACTGTATTATATATTGTGATATATTCTGATTGTGATATATCATGATAAATCTTGATATACTGTATTATACATTGTGATATATTCTGATATATTCTAATTTATTGTGATACATCATGATACAGTGTGATATATTTATGCATTAGGATATATTGTGATACATCCTGATATATCATGATAAATCTTGATATACTGTATTGTGATATACCATGATACATCACGATATATCGTGATAAATCTTGGATATACTACATTATATATTGTGATACATCATGATACATTGTGATGTATCATTACACTTTAAGACTTAATTAAATATAAATACTGTATGGGGAAATGAAATATTTCAATATTTTCTTACACCCCTGATGTTCACCTACGTTTGAGTCGATGTTGTCCAGGATRTCCTCGATGCAGCCGTGCTGTCGGATCAGGTCGATGGCTCTCTTGGGGCCGATCCCCTTGATGGTGCCGCAGTAGTCACAGCCCAGCAGAATACACAGGTCTATGAACTGGAAACAGGAAGAAACGGTCAGCTCTGTGTCTAACGCAACACAACTGTTTCATTTCTTTCAGTCAGGGACACAGAAAACTACCTGCTCATTGGTCAGACCCATGTCCTGCAGGATCCGGTTGAAGTGGAACTCCTGAATGGGAAGCTTCCTGGAAAAATAACAGAGGTTTTTGCATTCATCGGGTCACTACAAGGTGACATGTCTTCAGTGAAAACAGCAGTGTGTACTTTGCTTCGCTGGCGGTCAGGTGTCTCAGCAGGACGTTTGTCCCAAAGGTCAGCCCGTCCATGTCCTCTGTCGCTGTGGCAAACACCTTCCCTGCTTTAACCAGAGCAGCACAGCTGGCCTCGGCTTCACAYGGAGCCTAAACACATAACCACACGTTTTACTACAGTTATAGATTTATTTCAATGAAAACGGACGATGTGAATTAAAAAAACAGTTTTGTTCTTTGAAATAGAAATGAACACGCTTCTCTTTAACAACCATTTTATTTTCATTTAAATAAATAAAAATCATATAAATGAAGGTAAACTTTTCAGTGTTTCAAAATGTTTTACCAATAAATTAAGCTGCATTCTTTATAATATGAAAATGGTGAAAAACGAACTGATTCTAGATATCCTGCTGCAGATATTTTAGCTTTATAGTTACAAACAAACAAAAATAACAGTTTCTGTAAATATTTTTCTGCTAAAGTTTTGTTTGAGTTTAAATCTAGTCTTTTTGTGTTGTTGACATGAGTGATCTCACCTCAATATAAGGAACTCCCATCAGCGACAGCAGCTTTTTGCACTCATCGTTGTGCTGTTTGGTGACTTTAACGAGCCGCTTGGAGAACTTGTCGATATTCTCCTGCTCACCTGGTTTAAAAACAATTAAAAAGTGTTTCATCAGTTCAGGTTCAAACTGCTTTACATTAATCAAAACATTAATTACATTTATTTACTAGGGCTGTGTATTGGCAAGAATTTGGCGATACGATACATATCACGACAGAGGGGTCACGATACGAT